GAGTGCTGCCACAGAAACACTTGCCTGTTCCTCATCCTTGTGAAGGGTCTCAAGCCAAGCTTAACAGGTCACCAACTTTATCTGCCCGTGGGCTGATGCCACAGGGAGGTAGCTCCTGGCTGCTGCAGTCCTCACCTCATCAGCGGATGGATCTCCTCTTTCTGACATTTGCTGTAAGACTTGCTGATGGTTGATGCTTGGATGTTTCAAGCCCCAGTCAGACGTGAGGTATACTGGATGCATTACAAATGGGCTGGGAAGCCCTCTGAAGATCTTAGCAAATGTCTGCTCTCTGACAGCTAGACTTTCACTGGCGGGTGTTGCAACCATCCCTCTAGAATTCACCTTTAATTTTGAGTACAAAAGGGCATTATTTGATAAGGGATAAGCTTTAGGGGCTCAGCATGAAAGCAGGTAGTTGTGAATAGTCCATTCTTTTGTTTTAAGATCTGTCTGTAACTGACAGGTCTTTCCTCTGGACTTGTTTTCTCATTGATGTTTATTCTTGTGCCTAGTCCCACCTCTCTATGAGACAGGAGGGTGTATGTACAGTGTGTTTAAAAGTCAGTAAAACCAGGATGGGATACTTTTAGCCTAGGAAAAAAGTATCAAAATTATTTTAAGAAAACATAAACCCTTCCTAAGTGTTCTAGAATGTGAATCAGCTCAACCTGGTTTTGGAGGCTGTGCTGGGGACACTTGCTTGCAGAATAGGATGCTTTGTACTCCAGCGTGGAGAGGGGTCAGGGTCTGTAACAGTAAAGGCAGAGTTCTCAATGGCATCTGCTATTGGGGGGTTGCAGAATGAAAATATACAAGATACTGATCTCATTTATTGGTCCTTCTCTGAGACGTGGGTGGGTTTTCCCGGTTCTGTTCACTGAATCAGGTCACTGCAGTGATTCGAGGGACAGATGAGTGGTGGGGACCTTGGGGGAGTGTGTGTAGTAGGACCTTTTCCCCCTGGCAGCAGCAGGTTCACTCGTCCTCATTTTCCATTGTTTATGGGAAAGAGAGGGCTAGAAATAAAAAGAGTCTGACTTGTTTCTTTTTTGCAGTGGTACAGAAAACCAGACTACAACTTTTTTGAAAGCTATAAGTCATATCGTCATATACATCCAGAGCAGCCCTTCTATATCCTGAACCCAAAAATGCAGTGGCAACTCTGGGACATTCTGCAAGAGAATTCACTGGAGCATATTCAGCCTAATCCACCATCATCGGGAATGCTTGGTAAGATACTTGCCCTCTAAAATTCTCATTCCATTTGCAGGAACTCTACAGGATGCCTTTTTTTTTTTTTTTTTTTTTCCAAAGACAGCTACAGATTGATGGTGCTTATTAGAGTTGCTTTTACAGTGTTTGTCTTATCCCAAAAGTTAAGCTTCCTGTCTTTAAAGCAGCAGCTCAGTTGTGTTAAAGTAAGAGGTTTGTAACCCCCCCCTTTGAGACAGCGGTTAAAACATGGCCTTGTTCCATTTGGAAACAGGAGAGCAGATTGCAACAT